ATAGTAAAAAATTATGGGTCAGTGGAAGAAGCAAGAACATAAGACACACAATCAAAAGAAAAAGAATCAATAGAAACAGACCCTCAGATGGCCAAAATGTTGAAATTATCAAAGAACTTTAAAATGACTATAATAAATACATTAAAGGACCTAGTAAAACAAAGGTGAACAGCATGCAGAAATAAATGGGGTATTTCAAGGAGCAAAGGAATCTGTAAAAAAGAATCAAGTGGACATGCTAGAAATAAAAAATAATAAAATATAAGAAATGAAGAATTTATTCAGTCAGCATTTCAATTATCTATTGCTGCATTACAGGGTGCCACAAGCAGGAGCTTGAAAGAATAACAACTTAAAGTTTTCTTATTCTGCTGTCTGGGCTGGGCTCAGTTGGGTAGTTCTTCTGTTCCACGTGGTGTCTGCTGGACCTCAAATTTCCAAGAGGGTTTCTTTACTCATATATTTGGTGCTCAAAACTGCAGTTCTTTCACCAATGTAGTTTTCCAGAAGAGTTAGTAGCTGACTGGTCATCCTTCTCGCATTCTGTCAGGCCTCTCCAAGTTGCTGACTTTGGCTTTCTCATGGAATGAGGGTCCTCGAATAATTGGGTTTTTAGTATATGGTGCCTGATTTCCAAGACAGAAGATGTGGAAGCCACAAGTTCTCTTAAGGTCTGGACTCATAAGTCCTAAAACATAATTTCTGATGCATTCTTCTGTTCAGAGCAAGTCTCAAGTTCAGCCTAGATGTCACCACTTAGTATGTGGAGTAGCATGTGTGTACAGGAGAGGAAGAATTGATGGTGCCCATCTTAGAGACCATCTATCACACTCTTCCCTCTGACCACAATAATTCGCTTCCCTCCCATGTGAAAACTACACCACAACCTCCCTTCCAAGGTCACCAAAGTCTCTTCCAATTATGGCATCAGGCTGAACTCCAGCATCTCATGATCTGCATCAAGTCCAGATGTGGATTAGGCTTCTCAAGTGTACTTCTTCTCAATCTGAAGAAAAAGTTACTGCCCCCCCCAACACCCATATCCAACATAAAACAATAAGACAGTGATAGAATAACTGCAGTAGTCACTCCTATTTAAAAAGAGGGAAATTCATGTATTGCAATGAGCACTGGGTGTTATGTGCAAATAATGAATCATGGAACACTACATCAAAAACTAATGAAGTACTGTATGATGACTAACATAATAAAAAAATAATAAAAAATAAAAAGAGGGAAATGGAAGGCATATGGCAGTAAATGGCCCACAGCAATTATAAAATCCAGTTGGGCCTATGTCCACAGTATCCCGGACCATGGGATAGTCCATGATAAAGGCACAGTTCTGGTCTTTGGTATTGGTCTTCTTCAGCTTTTGGCTCTGTCCTCTGGGATTTGGGCTGTGATCTCTGAGGTATCCTTAGGAAATGGTTTAATTTTTCAAGTGAGTTAGTTTCCTTAGCCTTTTGTATGTCCATAGAAGTTTTCTTTCTTTCTATGCATTTTAATCTGAACTTGTATTGCCTTTTATAAAATTATCTTTTAAAACTTTGTAAGTATTCTATGAATCTTACCGGGGGTTCACTTCATTTTAGAAAGGCACCTACAAATCTCTTTGAGTAGATCTCTTTCTAGTTTGAGCTGCAAGTTGGGTGCTTTGGTAAGTTGCCTGAAAGATCCTTAGAAGGGTTTTTGTTTACTTGAGAGTGTTTGAGACAATGCCATAAATCCTTTTGAACTCTTAACAAGAAGTCTTATAGCCACTCTTAATTTGATCCTTACCTTGAGGCCACATTGTACTGACAATGGTCTTTGCTCTGACTTTATTCTTACTTAAAGAACCTTTGCCAGCTGAAAAAGCTGGGAATTAAAAGAGTACTAGTAGAGTAAATATCCCTGTTCATTGAAATGACTCAGAAGCAGTAATAACCCAGCATCTATGAGCAGCCCTAGTACCTAGCCTGTGTTCCCTAAATACTATTCTTAATTCAAAGAAACAAGGACTTCTTGGAGAAATGGCTGATTCCAAGTTTAGAGCAATAATTGTACAAGATTATTTTGAGCATCATGTTGTTCCAGAAAACTGGCAAGCTATCGAAGACTAATGGATCACAATGGTGAGAATGTGGAGAAATTAGAACCATTGTACACTGCTGGTGGTAAAATGGTTCAACTGCTGTGAAAAACAACTTGGCAGTTCCTCAAAAAGTTAAACATAGAATTACCATATGACTTAGCAGTTCCACTCCTAGATATATAGCCAAAAGAATCAAAAACAGGGACTTAAACAAATACATGTATGCCATTGTTTATTGCAACATTATTTACAACAGCCAAAAGGTGGAAACAATTCAAGTGTATGTTGACAGATGAATTGATAAAATGTGGTCTGTACATACAATGAAACATTATTCAACCATAAAAATGAGTGAACATAGATGGATACATGCTACAACATAGATGAATCTTGAAAATATTTTTTTTAAAGATTTTATTTATTTGACAGAGAGAGAGACAGCAAGAGAGGGAGCACAAACATTGTTAAGTGAACTAAACCAGACACAAAAGGACAAATATTGTATGATTCTACTTATATGAAATATCTAGAATTGTCAAACTCATAGAAACATAGATTATTGGTTATTCAGAGGCTAGAGGTGTAGATGAAGAATTATTGTTTATTGGGTACAGAGTTTCTGTTTGGAATATGGAAAGGTTTTGAAGTAGATAGTGGTGATTATTTCACAACATTGTGAATGTTATAAATACCACTGTACATTTAAAATGGCTAAAACGGCAAAATTTATGATATATATATATATTATACCACAGTAAATATATTTTTAAAAAGCTAGTGGTCATGTCAAAAGAACAATGAAGCCAATTTGTAGAGCTTACATTGGGAAAGTTGCTCATTAACCACATTTAATTGAAACACATGAAACATACAAGAACCCATGACTTCAAACTGTTAATACAAAAATGGTCACTATTGGGCCTTTCTAGGGCACAATTCATTACTCTGAAGATTGGTTAAAAAATGGGTAAGAGTTAAGCCATTATCTTGCCTTTGCTGTAGGAATTGTATTCAGGAAAATCAATGACTGATAAAGACAGGTTCTTCTTTACAGAATTCCAATTAATGGAACTGAAAATTCCCATTTGCAACCTCTAATGAGACAATGGGTCATCAATTGATCAAGTGATGCACAATTTTTAGGTGAAAGATTAATGAAGAATATTATAATAGAGTGATCCACTGATCCCATTGTTTAATCTTAGCATCACTAAAAATGGGGCTCCAAATACCATGTACCTTATGATATGATGCAATAAAAAATATACAGCGCCATCTATGAATGCTTTTCACTTTAAAGAAACCCTGAACTTGAATCTCATCAAACTTTCAGCTTTAACCTCCAGTTTACCAGAAATATGGAGGATAGAAGAACAAGTTCAATAACACCATGAGGAAGCAATCAACCAAATTTGGAATATAGGACTTTTTAGAGAAGAACAAATGACCCAGTTTTACTAACCATTCTGGGAAAAAGGATGAGAGTATTATAAAATAAAACCTACCAACCAAATGCAATGTGTGCACCTTGTTTAGATGCTGAATAGAACAACCAGTTGTAAACTGACAACTTTGAGACAATCTGGGAAATTTGAAATGTTTACATGTTTGATGGTAATAAACACGTGTCAATTTTTTTAGGTTTAATAATGGCGTAGTGGTTATATAGGCATAGATAGATAGGTGATGTTCTTATCAGTCAGAAATCCATACCAAATAATTTTGGGGTAGAATGGCATGATGTCTTGGTTTTGCTTCAAAATATTCTAGGAAAAACGAAAACAACCAATTTGGGGAGATAGATAAAACAAGATTGGTAAAATATTGATTGTTACTAAAGGAAAATGTGTGTGGGAGTTCATTATATTATTCTCTCTGACTTTGTGTTTAAACACAATAAAAAGTTTTCCAAAAATTGCATATTTTTTTCTTGAACAAGACAATACAATCCAAAAACAAAGATTAGGACTATGCTCCCACTTTGCCTGAGTTTTAAGCCATAGTAAAAGTAATTTGGAGAGCCATCAGCACATCCCACAGCAGGAAGGAACTGTGACACGTGGAGGCTCTGCTTGGGAACACAGAAATGTTTTGAGCGGCAGCTTTGAGGAGCTGAGATCGAATTGAATTAAAAGACATGGCCTGCATGCAAACAGTTGGATCATGTCAGTGAGGACTTTATGTTCCTTTTGTGCTTCTGGCCTGCCAGTCCCCTCTTTGTGCCAACAGCTCTGTCTCACAAGCTGGAGACCAATTCTTCATTCAGTGAGTTAATTTTAAATGAAATGAAAACCCAAGTCATAATGTTTGGTTCACTACACAGGCAACAGGCACTGTCGGCCTCATTAATGATTAACATAGCAGCTGGTAATGTCTTGCAGCTGGTTGACCAGTTTAATGATGCCAAAATTTGGCTACATCCTCCTCCTGCTCTGACCAATACAGAGATCAGCTTTCTCTACAGTGGCTCAAGCTTGGTGCTCGGTGGATACCTCACCTACCAATCTACATGGATTATCAAGAAGAAGGAGCAGTATTTCTTGTACTGGGACCAACTCAGGTGCAGAGGCTCTAATGTTTTTGCTGGGCCAGACACAAAGAATGCATGACCCAGAATGCATTTATCTGATGTTGGAAGAAACAGGATGTTAGCTACCCTAAGAGGCAAGGCTGAGTTTCAGAAAGAGTTAATGGTCCCTGTTACTAGATTCTGTCTCTGGAAGAAGGTCTAGGAGGTCTCAGGCGAGAAAAGAATTAGGAAATTATTGTTCCAAGAGGTGCATATGGGGTCCAGAATTGAAGGTTAAAGAACAGGTTGGGGCAGGCAGAAGTTTTGAAATGTAGGCTCCAGTAAGCTGCAACAAAGATGTAGCTTCCATAACTCTGTGATATGAATATCGAACTTACTCATATTTCTGCAAAGTCCCAGATCTGAGGAAACCTGAATCCAGAAGTGTGAATGGGGAAATGCTTTCGGCTGACTGTGGCCAATCATCGCATTGAAAGGCAGGCGATGAAGATGAACAGGTGGGCTTTGACATCAACATCCTGAACTGGGGATCTGTCTTGTCATTCTCTGGAAGTAGGGACTAAGCTAGTTGTGCTTTCTGAACCTCTCACTGCCTATTCTGCCACAATTCACTAATTTCTTAGCTTCTCCTAGTATCACTGTTAGCTCTAGCATCTCTGATGATCTTGACCAGCTCCCCTTGGACCACTTTGCAGAGCAACTCATAATTTACAGCAGTGTGGCATAGCTTGCTAATCGAAGGTGCCATATCAGTGAGAACAGAGCTCCAACCTGGGTCCATCTTGTCCTGGCTGTTTGACTTTCTTGATACCCCTGATTAAGATACGCTGTCAATATTCTAGACTACAAAGACTGATTTTGAGTTAACTACTTGTACACTTAATTTGCTTTTACCTGATGCATGTTGTGACTGTGCTGTATGCCTGTTCTGTGACCTGGGCTATTTGTTTTTGAGCATTAGAGTTTGCAAGGACATGAGAAGAGAGTAGGGTTTTAGGGATCACATGTTCTACCATCCCTGCCCCAACCTCCTGCTCACACAGGCACACAGACATGTGCACACACGCATATGCAAGCCTCCGCACTCTCGTGTTGGAAGGAAGCCTCCCCGGTGCCAGAACAGACACTATTTCACTTAGAAGAAGTGTTTCATTTCTACTCTTCTGCAACCTTGTCAGGGTAAGAAAAACTGAAGCTGTGACTTTTCAGTGCCATCTGGTAAGTTAGATTGAGCATCAGACTGGGGTGCGTATCTGTTGTGCTGAAACAGGCCTCTCTAGGATTGAGTAGCTGACATTCCCACGGGGCTGTCCAGGAAAGGGGGCATTTCTGAGTCCTGCCTCACTGAGAGGAGTGTCAGGAATTAGCCACTCCCCCCCCCCAAACCATCAGTGTTGCCTTTTGGATGCACTCATCCTCTGAGTCATGCATGTGCTCACAGTCCCACACCACTTGCCTGGGGTCCTGGCAAAGCCCTAGTTCAGTTAATGAGGAGTTTAATAATCTCTGTGCATGCCAACGTGGGGCTAGAACATCTAGCTCCTTTTTATCCAACCGCAGGCAATTTTCCTTCATTTCCACAGTAGCACTAGTAGAACACAGCTGATTGCAAGTCCCTGCAGTGAAACCCACTATCAAAGTGAAAATTGAGGATGAAGAGAGCCTTCCTGTCTGCGTCCTCCAGCAAGGCTGACTCCTCCCTCTATAAGCAGTCAGAGCTGAATAATAAAATGAACAAGTCTGCAGCCCAGGAGGAGACCGCAGACTCTGCCAGTGAGGTTGGCAAGATGATAGTTTGTGTCCCTTCACTGGTCCAAGTGCCCTGGGGTTGGGGAAGGAGAGGAGTGGAGGCTGTGTCAAGCCAGGCTTCCCTCTCCATCACTGGCCCTTGGCACATTTGGGTGACTCTGCAAACTCTCTCCCTCAGATGTGCTTCTGTGTCCTTCCTCCAGCCGTGTCAGGGGCCAGTCCTGAAAGCTTAGAGCTTCTGCTTATGACAAGACACCGTCTGCTGGCAGAGGTGAAGCCTAGAGCCTAGTCTTTTCTGGGAGAGACGCTTTAGATGGCGTGGTGGCTTTACAATGTGTGGACTCAGGCAGGCAGAACTAGGTTTCCCAGAGCTCCCTTTCCTGTATGTTTCTTGTGCAGGTAAGCTGCTGGCGAGGTTCGCGCAAGTGAAGGAGGGTGCCAGTGAAGCAGCAGCCCTTGGGTAGCACCTGGACATCCGTCAGTGAGAAGAAGCCACTGGGCCTGGGTTGTTCCACCTTCTTCTGGATTCCCAGCCTCCCTGACTCTAAGGCCAGATGTGTGTGTTTCGCTCCACGATAAAGGAGCCTGGCTCCAGGAGAGCCATGCCACTGAGGCCAGAGGCAAGAACTGACATGCCTTTCAGTCCATGCTGTGGCTTCTGAGCTCCTGCTCGTTCTTTCTTTCCCCCACTGTCCTGACTGCCTGCCCCGTGGTCTCCAAGCTGCAGCAGCGGCTGTACAGATGAAATCCTTTAGCCAGGTTTCACAATTGCATCAAGTCAAATCCTTGTAATAAATCTGTCTACCCATCTATCCATCCATTTGTGTGTCTGCCTGCCAGCCTGTCTGTGTATCTACCAGCTATCCTAGTGATTCTGCTTCTTTGAACCCTGACTGATACAGGTTGAAATAGAGATGTGAACCCCCATGAATTCCCTTAAGACTGCTGTCTAGGGACTTGAGGATAGCGTACTTGTGACTGGGCATACGCCAACGTGTTTTTCCATTTTCTGTTCTGGGAAATGGACCCCAAATCTCACATAGTCTGCACATATAAGAAGTCATGTTTGCTGGGTGAAAAATGTGTTAATATTGCAAAAACCTCTTCCAGGTACCTATCAGGTGTCCCCCTTGATGTACATATTTTCTCCTTTTTCATCCCTGTTCCTCCTTCATTTAAATCTTTGGGAAATTTGAGACTGTCTGGTCCTGAATCATCCTAATCCTAGAAGACCAATTTCTCTGCAGGAGCCAGGTGGGTGTGAGACTTCAAGGAAAGGGCTCAGCTGGGAAGTTAGTGCAGTAGACCCTGTCAGCAGCCCCTCCTGTGCGGGCCAGGCAGATGAAGGAGGGAGCATCATTTGCTTTCTCCTACTGCAGGTGGGAACATCACAGACCTGTCACTCAGTCCAAGATCAGAGAAAGTTCCCAACAAGAAGCTGGCATGGTCCAACTGTTTCCCCTGGTCCCCTGCTGATTGCTGGGAGCTAGCTGGGAGAATGAAGGCTGACACTCCCTTCCCCTAGCCCAGGCAGCGGAAAAGGGGCCCCTTCTCTCCCATCACGGAAGGTAGAGACTGGAAACACGGCTACCTCTGACTAATGTACCCTATGTCCCTTGTAGAGGATATGAAGTGTGTTTTGCATTTTGAGGTTTGATGGGTAGGTCGATGCCTTCTGGTAATTTCTCAGCACAGAAGAGTGACAGCTTGAATGAAATTCAACGGTTACTTTTTCTACACCCCCCCCACCAGCTCTTAGTTATTGTTTTGTGCCAGCTCATTACTTCCCCTAGTTAGAATTGGTAGCAGAAACAGAAGGGGTGAAATACTACCAGGGGGACTATTCCTTCAGTGTTGATAGCAGGTATCTCCATTAGACTTTTCCTAAGAGCCACATCCAGGTGTAGCAAATTAGTTAAGAGAGCCATGGGTTCATTTGCATGTGATCTGCATATGGTTTCTGAGTACCTAGATAAACAGTGCTTGTGCATTTCAGGCAATGCTAAGTTTAAATTTTGTTGCTTTTTCTCTGGTTTTTCCCTCTTTGTCCTTTTCTCTTGTTTCCTATCCACAATTCCATGATATTTGGCTTTACACCAGAATCCCCACAATCACATACATGGAAGAAAGTTGAAGGGGGAGGGGAGAGTGCAGAGAGCTACAGCGGGAAGATGTCTGTGCAACTGTGCCCCGGGGTCTGTTAATGCAGAAGACATAGGGTGGGGAGGGGAGTCAGAATTGCAGGAGCCTGTTCTTGAAGGGTTTTCTCAACTAAAAGACCAACAATGATGAAAGTGGTGTTGATGATGATATTTGGGACAATGATAACCATTGAGTTTGGCATGCCATGAAGTTCCCACCTCCCCTGACCCAAAATACACTCGAGATTCATCCATTTGATCACTACATTAATGTAAATGCTGGCTTAAGTTACTGATCTACAGCCTCCATGGAAAAGTCAGTGGCTGAAGTCGGTCAGTGCCGAGTATCGCTGAGTAAAACACTGCATTCAAAGGATTCTTCTAGGATCCTTTAGGGAAAATTCAGTCATCTCTCCCAACTCCCCCACTCTCCTGTCCTCAATTTTCCATCCTTTTCTCCTTGCTACCATCGGATTCAGGGGCTGTTCTGAGGTTTATTTTCCTTGCCAACAGCCTGCAGGCTTAAAAACACAAGCTCACTCTTTCCTTTGGCTGAGCTAAAAGAACACCTCCATCTGATTTCCTTAGGGACTCGGTACAGTTTTCTCTAACTTTCTCTTTTCTCTATCTCTGCCTCTGTCTTTCCTACATCTGTCTTCCCTCCCTGTTTCCCTTCCCCCTATCCTCTCCCCTTTCTGCTCTCTGCACAGAATCACACAACACTCAGTCCACAGGGCCCGGCAGTGGTGGGGAGAGGAGCAGAGCAGAGCGGTGCTAGGGACAGTCCTGCAGTGTACAGGGCAGCAGGGTGGCTAAGGAAGCTGGAGCCCTGTAACGACGGGCATGAAATCTTGTGATTACACACTCCATAAAACCTGCCCTGCTGCAGCTGGATTCCATGCCAGGAGGATTAAGCAAGTTTTGTTAAGACCCTTAAAGAAGCAGTGAGTGGCAGCAGTTACTGGAGCTGCAGGAGATTTGTTGGAGTAAAGCACCACGAGGCTGCCTGGCCTGATTGGAGGGAGGAGAGAGCCATTATCTGGATCTACATTAAAGCCTGGACACTGGAGGGACATGGAAGCCAGCATGCCAGGGTGCACTGGGATTAATTGACCAGTCTTTCAGTACCAGAGTGAAGCAGGCTTAATAGCAGACTCCAGGGAGTCTACAAAACAACTCGTTTGTATTCTTTCTGTTTGACTTGTGTTTAATTTGTTCTTTCTTCAAGTAGCTCAAAGTGCTTTCTATACCCCACACAGTATTCAATTGATCCCATTTTATCCTGCATCTCCAGCTGAGGATGGGTGTGGCAGATGCCGGGCATTCTGGATCAGGATGTAAGAACCCCCATGTTTAGTCCCTGTGAAGTCATCTCTAATCCGGGTCAATCCTGTATCCTCTTAGAGGAGTGGAAATGATTGGCCACCTCATCTTATTGATAAGCAAAAACACCAATGGGCAAAAGGGACATTTGCAGAGTGCCTCTCTAGCAGAACCCCTTCTAAGAATGTGGGAGACTCTCTAGTAATATATTCATGATTATACATTTTGGATATTAAGTTGTTTTTTTTTTTAATTACAGTTGGTTCAGATTGCTGTCTCTTTCAACTCCAAGTTCCCCTCTGTCTTGCTGCCCTTGTGCAGGGAGATGTTGGAATGTCTAAGGGCATTTTGGAATGCTAAGGAGAAGCTGAGGTGAGACATTGAGTTTGTGTTTTGTGGGTTTGTTAATATAGGTTCCATTTGTAGTTATTTTATTGCCAGTTGCCCCAGTATAGGAATGGCTTCTAGAAATATTTTTGCCATCCCCGGTACCATCACCAGCCTCTAGAATTATAGGGCTGGAGGTCTTATCATGGTATCAGGATGTGCTGTTTTGCCTGGTGCTGGATGTAGGTGGAGAATAAACAAGTTTTGAAACAGAAGCTAGTCTATGGAAAAGTCTTTTAAATCTTTCAGATCAAATATGAAAGAAACTTGACAGAAGTTTTCCCGAATTTGCCAGCAATCCTAAAAATTTACATGACATTGATAGTTACAGATATGAAGCTGAAAGAAACTTCTCTGAATTATTAATAAGAAATGGTCACCAGTTATAAAGACTGAATTGTCTTTCTATTCTTTCTATAGAAACTTATAACTGCCATACGAAAATGTGATTATGCATTTAATAATATATGGAAAAAGAAGCAATGTAGAATTTGTCAAGCAATTAATAATAGTATTAGGTTATTTTTTAAAATTTGAAAAATTTTTAGTATTTGTGGTATTTGTCAGCTTTTTAAAATTTATACTTTGTGATTTATTTTCTCATTCTAAACAAATATTTACACTTACTGAACTGTGAGTTTGTCGTCTTGTTTCTTTGTTGTTGTTGTGATTTTTTTAGTAATCTCTATACCCAGTGTGGGACTCGAACTCACAACCCCAAGATCAAGAGTTGCATGCTCTCCTGACCGAGCCAGCTAGACAACCTGCCTTGCGAGTTTGTCATTTTGTAAGCTTCAGGCTTGGTAAATCCTGAAAATCTGCCTGTGAGTGTTTGACTTGTCTTTGGGAATCCAGGCTCTTGGGAGCTCTCCTCCTTTCTAGGGTAGGACTCTGTCTGCCTGACTATAAGACTGGCATTAAAGCCACAGGCAGATCTAATAAATGGACCTTGTTTTAAACTCAGGTACAGAATTAAAATCCCCTGGAGTAGCTTGCCTTTCCTAAGGCTTCCTCCCCCACCCCAGTCAGGGTTAAAGCCTGTGAGATTAAATGGAAAGGTCCCTGGGATAATCTGATTCTAGTTGAACATCGGACACTACCTAATGGGGGTGAATTTGACTAAATTGGTGTATCTTTTTAGATCCCAATTTCCTCATCTCTCATCTGGGCATAAATATGATAGCTGAGTCTTTCTTACAGGATTATAGTAGGTGCCACTGAGAGTAAATGAGAGGCTAAAGTTGTCTGAAAAGTACAGAGTGCTTTGCAAATAGAAGGGATTATGTTTTATTTATCAAGTCAAAGCAACCGTCCGTCTTCCAAACCTGAGATGTTAGGTGCTTAGACTGGGATTCCATGTGAGTCAATACTCTGCATTTGTCCTGACAGTCACAACCACTTTGCATCTTACAGGTATGGTGCAGAAAGCCATGGCATCTTGATGGTAGCATGGGTGATGGGGCAGGCAACCACATCTCTTAGATGTTGGAGGTTACTGGAGGACTTGGTGTATCAGAGGGGGCTTAATTCACATTCTCAGGGGGCTGCTCCTTTGAGGTAAGCTCCTCCCCCATGCACTGAATTCTCTGCTGCTTCTAATTGACTTGAAAGTACCTTGCCTCTCCTTTGAAATGTCACCTCGTCCTTCTCAAGTGCATTTCTAGGCAATCAGAATCAATACATTGTTTAGGTTACGCACACGAGATAGTGATTGACAACCCAAATATGAGTGTAGGCTTCACTTCCAGCATCAGTTCTGGTATTAGATGCTGCTGAAACCCATTCATATCTATGAGTAAGGATCAATGATCTAGAAGACAGTGTCTTGAGAAGAGATGTAGTGTAGAGTGGAGTTTATCATAGCTGGCCTTTAGGTTCATTTGTGTTGTATCTGTGGCCACTTTCCCACTCAGTACTTCTATGTCCACTTACTTTTGGTTGCGAGACTGTGAAACACCTTTTGAGGGTGTGTCTTTGGACGTGGACCACCTTAGCCTGACCCACATGAGAAGTGACACGCAACCTTGGCTTCCTCATGTTATGGCCCAGTCATTTGCTAAATCACAGTCTCCTGCAGCATCCCACCTTTGCGGGGGCTTTTATCATTATGGGGAAGATATATATATATCTGTCTACATCTGGATTCTAGTCCCATCTCAGTCATAAGGAGCTGTTTGTTTCCTGCCCTTCTTTGACTCTGCCTAGGTACTTTCAATCAGGGTGGTGTGTGTCTCTGTGTCTGTGTGTGTATCTAGGTGTCTTTATCTTGTAGATAAAAGGCTGAGCTTTCTTGGGACAGACTCAGGAGGGTAAGGGATAGTAATGGCAGTGAACTTGGGACAGGCTGCCTCACTAGCAATCCTTCACTCTGTTCTTTCTGTCTGGCCCTGTTCCCTTAACTCCAGTTCCTGTGAATCTCCCCATGGCTGTCTGTTTATCTGGCCCACTCTGGCAGCTCTGGCAGCTCTCCTCATTGCTATTTTTGTGGACATTGTGCCCAACTAGGCTTCTGGCTTCTCTGATGCCTGGATTTCCTGAGAGTTTATGCTTTAAGGTGACTCTTCTCATATGAAATGTGGAACGAGGGATATCCTGAGATGGGAAATCCTAAAATTTACTGAGACATAAGGGACACTAGAATAGGCACTAGTTAAAGGAGCTATTGAATAGAAAGCCCTTAGCATGGTCCTTTCAGGTAGTACACTCTCAGTAAATCCTATTATTAGTGTTGGTAGTGGTAGTTGTAATGCTGTTATTTTTTTTTACTATTATCATCATTATCATTTTTTAACAACTGCTATCCTGTCTTCACTCTGCAAGAGAGAAGGACCAAAATAGTGCTCCTTGAATGTCAGTGTGCACACAAATCACCAGGGTATCTTGTTAAAATAAAGATTTTTATTTAGAAGTTCTAAGCTTCTGAATTTTTAACAAGCACTCAGATGATGCTGGTGTTCCTGGTCCATGGACCACAGTTTGAGTAGCAAAGGTCTAAGGGACCCAGAAAAGAGCAGGAGACAGAGGGCAGGGTGTTGAGGAAAGAGAATATGTTTGGGATGTTCAGGTTATGAGTACCTCTGAGGTCAGGAACACTGACCAGACACAGTGCTGCTGGAAGCTTTGTAAGTTCTCCAAGTTTGTCATTTTTTTTGTAATTATGGTTGAACAACTGCTTTCCTATGGAAATAGCAGAAAAACATTGAATGAAAAGGGTGCAAACCTTGTTTTGCATCATATCATAAAAGGAGATTCCATTCTTCCTAGCAGTCAGTGCTGGAGAAGAAGAACTTTTGTCTTGCCCTGGGTGTGTCATGGCAGGTCTCGAGAGGACCTGAATCTTTAGGCTCATGGAAAGAGAGAAAGGGGAAGGTTGTGGGAGGCCTAGGACAGAGTAGTGATCCTCTATGGGTCATATTTTGTGTGATCTGTTCAGTCCCTTAGGACTCTTGCTTCCCCCCACTTAGTAGATTATAAACTTGTTGAAGAAGACAGAGTTCGAACAGAAATAATTTGTTTCCTATTAGTGCTTTCCTAATATTAGTGCCACTTGCAATATTAGAGCTTGTTTAGGGCCAGATACCATCTCATGTAACCTGCATAACAATTCTAAGAAATAGGTGCTGTTTTATTCCAAGACCATTCTTACCATTGAACATACTTTATTTTGCTTATTTATTTTGTTCATTGTCTCCGCCAACAAGACTGCAAGCTCCATGCAACTTTGTTCATTGCTTCCCAGTCCTTAGTATGGCACCTCACACATAGTAGTTGCTCAACATGCATTTGTCACACAAGTGATTGAATGGATGAGAAAATCAAGAATTAATAAGGTTTGCCTTAGGTTACCCATGTTAGATGCTATAGTCCAAACCCAAAGCCTGTGCACCTGGCTTTGATGCTCTTCCCTACTCTGTCGTGCATACTCCCTATCATTTTAGCTACTTCCTAATAAGCTCACTGCAATAAGCTTAGGTAGTGAATCCTACCACTCAGTTGAGTCCTTGGCTGCTAAGGCCAAGAACTATGGGTACCACTTTGGTACTTAATATTAGCTATCAGTGATCTCTGTGAGGTCACAGTAGGACTGACTGATAAGCCAGCCTCAGGTCATCTGTACTCCCAGATAAGCCAGGGGGCACACACCCCAATATGCCAGCAGCCAGCTCAGAGTGAGGTATTCTGTAAAAGGCCCATATCATCTTTTTCTTTATGAGGTTTGCCACTTATTCAGCTCCAGCAGAGGATTTGCTTATTCACTGTTCTTTTTGGCTCCCGAGGAAAATGTTATAAGGTACATGTTTGAGTCAGAGGGGAAGCAGTCAGGCAAGTCAAGAGTGACACAGGTTCCATAGGCAGAGAGTGTCCTGCCTTCCCTATTAGACACAACAGTTGGATGCTGACAGTGGTCCTTCTGTGGAACAATAGGCAATGCTTTCACATGTAATCAGAAACTCAGGATGGCAGCTTTAGCAGAACAGCAGAAAACAAAATCAACTTATTTCCTAAAGCTAAGTTCTTGACTCAAAATTAGCATCTCAGAATTTCCTGACACAAAGTTACTCAGAGCTAGGTGACTTTTATTGAGCAAGGCAGTCACATCCTGCCATACCACAGCCTGGGCCAAGGATCCAGAAGATTGATGCTGGGGATCCTTTCCCATCCATGCTCAGAGGTATAAAAGTACAAGTGATTACACCTGCCACTTAACACATTCCAAAATGCCCTTGAACATAACTGGGCCCAATGGGCATGAGGCCAGAAATGAGATCCAAATTGATAGAAATGAAATGTGCCATGCCCTGAGATTGTAATCAGGAAAGGAAGGAAGAAAAGGATGCTGTTCTGTGCCAGAAAACTGAAACTTTCCATTTTGGTTATTTTAAATAGTTTATTCTGTGATAAGGGCCACAATTCATGGAAAGTCAACATCAGAGAATTACCTAGGTTTTTATCATGTAATCAAGACAGGACATCTTCTAATTGGT